GGTGGGTAGGTCGGTGGGTAGGTAGGCCGGTGGGTAGGTAGGCAGGCAGGGAAGTAGTTCGGTAAGTAGGTCGGTGGGGCGGTACGTAGGTGGGGTGGTGGGTATGTGGGTAGGTGGGTAGGTGGGTAGGTTGGGGGCTATGTGGGTAGGTAGGTCGGTAGGTCGGCAGGTAGGTAAGTCGATGTAGTATTAACAGTAGTAGTAGTAGTAGTAGTAGTAGTAGTAGTAGTAGTAGTAGTAGTAGTCGTAGTAGTAGTAGTAGTAGTAGTCGTAGCGGTAGTAGTAGTAGTAGTAGTAGTAGTAGTAGTAGTAGCAGTAGGAGTAGTAGCAGTTGCAGTAGCAGTAGCAGTAGTAGTAGTAGTAGTAGTAGTAGTAGTAGTAGTAGTAGTAGTAGTAAATGTTTTTTTTTCAAGTAGTAGTAGTAAGTAGTAGTAGTATAGTATTAGTAGTAGTAGTAATAGTAAAGTGAGTATGAAGGAATCGTCGTAGAGTAGTCGCAGCAAAGCACAGCAGTAGCACAGGTAGTAGTAGTATAGTAGTAGTCGTATAAGTAGTAGTAGTTAGTAGTAGTAGTAAGCAGTAGTAGTATGTATAGTAGTAGTAGTGTGTGATAGTGGTATTAGTAGTAAGTAGTAGTCGTCGTCGTCGTCGTTCGTCGTTCTCGTCGTCGTCGTGTCGTCGTCGTCGTCGTCGTCGGGGTCGTCGTCGGTCGTCGTCCCGTCGTCGTCGTCGTCGTCCGTCGTCGTCGTCGTCGTCGTCGTCGTCGTCGTCGTAGTAGTAGTAGTAGTAGTAGTAGTAATATCCGTAAGGGCCGCGCGTGAGGGGTGAGGGGTGGCCCCGCCGATCTGCGTGAGGGGTGCCACCCTGACCCTGCCGATCTGCGTGAGGGGTGCCAGCGGATTTTAAACATGTGTCAAATCTTTCGTGTTTTTGCACCCTGACCCCGCCGATTTGCATGAGGGGTGCTACCGAATTTCAGACATGTGGCGAATCCCTTCTGCTTTTGGACCCTGACCCCGCCGATCTGCGTGAGGGGTCCCAGCAAATTCAAGAAAATTTGCAAATCCCATATGTTTTTGGACCCTGACCCCGCCGATCTGCGTGAGGAGTGCAACCGGATTTCAGAAATGTGGCAAATCCCTTGGCTGTTTGAACCCTGACCCCGCCGATCTGCGTCAGGGGTGTCAATTTTTACCCACCCCAGCAATTCAGACAACACGCTCCCTCGCGCGGTCCATCAACAAGGAACGGTAAACAGCAAGAAGCATAACTGTGAAAGTGGAAACTGGAAGCTGCAACTGGTACAGGAAACTGCGAACCTTCGGCCTACAGCATGGTGGTCCCACAAGGGAGCCGGCGGATTTTAGTAGTCGTAGTAGTAGCGGAAGAAGTAGTAGTGGAAGGAGCAATAGTAGTAGTAGTAGTAATAATAACATCAGTAGTATCCGTAGTAGACGTAGTAGTAGTAGTAGTAGTAGTAGTAGTAGTAATAATATCAGTAGTATCCGTAGTAGACGTAGTAGTAGTAGTAGTAGTAGTAGTAGTAGTAGTAGTAGTCGTAGTAGTAGTAGTAGTAGTAGTAGTCGTAGTAGTAGTAGTAGTAGTAGGTCGTAGTAGTAGTAGTAGTAGTAAGCAGATAACCCTAGTAGTAATAGTATAGTAGTAGTATTAGTAGTACTAGTAGTATTAGTAGTAGTAGTAGTAGAGGAGATAGTAGTTAGTAGTAGTCTAGTGTAAGTCGTTAGTCGGGAAGTGTAGTCGTAGTAGTAGTAGTAGTAGTTAGTAGTAGTAGTAGAGGAGTAGTCGTTATAGTTAGTAGTAGTGGGTAGTCGTAGTAGTAGTATAGTAAGTCGTAGTTACGCAGTAGTAGTCTAAGTAGTAGTAGTAGTTACAGTAGAAGTAGGGTAGAGGGCAGTAGTACTTGTAACGAGTGGTAGTAGTAGTAGTAGTAGTAGTATTAGTAGGCGTAGTAGTAGTAGTAGTAGTAGTAGTAGTAGTAGTAGTCGTAGCAGTAGTTGTCGTAGCGGTAGTAGTAGTAGTCGTCGTCGTCGTCGTCGTCGTCGTAGTAGTAGTAGTAGTAGTAGTAGTAGTGGTGGTGGTGGTGGTGGTGGTGGTGGTGGTGATGGTAGAAGTGGTGGTGGTGGTGGTGGTGGCAGTAGTAGTAGCCGTAGTAATCGTAGTAGAGTAGTCGTAGTCGTAGTAGTAGTAGTAGTAGTAGGTAGTAGAAGTAGTAAAAACAAAAAAAACAAAACAAAACTAGTAGTAGTTAGTAGTAGTAGTAGTACTAGTCAGTCGTAGTAGTAGTAGTAGTAGTAGTAGCCGGGAGTACCAGTCCTGGTCAGTAGGAGTAGTAGTATAGTAGTGTATTATTGTAGTAGGAGTAGTAGTCATAAGTAGTAGTAGTGTGTTAGTAGTAGTAGCAG